AAAAAAAAAAAAAAAAAAAAAAAAAAGAAAAAAAAGAAAAAAAAAAGTAAAAACACTTGTAAATTGATATTTACTGAACAAAGATTTAAAAAATAAAAAAAAAGACTTGATCGTATAAGGAAACAAGTCATACCATTATTCATTAACAATTTAATTAATTAAGAAACTTCTTAAATATGATGGCGATTGATTTATATATAAAACATCATGTGTATACGCGTGCATTATCTGTATAAATACTTAACATTGTATCAATGACAAATACCAAGTAGCTTGAACCTCTTTTCCTCAATTACTTTCAAGTGATCGAAGAAAATTCGATTTGATCATTCATCACTTCAATTTTCTATTTGTAATTCCTAAGCTTTATCGTACTAGGGAATTATTCAAACGAAAGGATAGAAAGTCATTGCGACTTCAACCTTTAGAATTTCTTGGAGAACGCAGATCATCATGGCCATTTATGTTCCAGCGTTATGTCAAGCGCAACTCATCAGACCTGTCAGTGTATTATCGCAAACTTCTCTTATAGAACTATCTCTTGTCCCTACTTTGGTTTCAATCACTGTAAAATTATTTTTATATGTACGTCGTAAACTACGTGGATTTGGTACATAAACTTCGTATGGAGTCCGACCATTTTCAATCACCCATATACTACCAGATTCCGCGATTCTCAAGATCGACATTAGACCTTGAGCTACCACATATGGACTGTAAAGGAAAGATTTGATTAAAATTGATTTTCTTTTTGATTTAATTTTTTTTTTTTTTAATAAAAATTAAAAAAAAAAACTTACGTTTGTATTGATAGTTGTTCGAGAGTTTTTACGAAGTCTGCCTTCATAACACGAGAAAGTAATTTATTTGGGCTATCCACTGTAAGTGCAGTTTCTGTCAAGCCTGGACATAACGTTATTACACGAATACCAGTCTTTTCAATTTGGTAAGATTCCTAAAATAGATTGAAATTTATCTTTAAATTATTTTCTTATTATTTGACATTTATTATGTATGTTTTGCAAAATATTTTTAAAGTTCAAAGAAAAAAAACCAGTATTCAATATGGTAGTATTATTTATAAATTATCATGAGATTAAAAGAATTTTATTTAAAATTAGAATAAAAAACGAAATATTTGAAATAATTAATATTTAGTATCTTCTTAAAACATTTAATGAAAATGATATTAATATTTTTATCTTTTTGTAGAATATAGAATACTTATTATTAATACTAAATTCAGAAAACTATATATAATTTAAAACAATAAATATTACCGCGAGAGATTGTGAGAGTCCAATCATGGCATGTTTGGTGGCTGTGTAAATTGGAAGTTGAGCAGTACTTTTAATATCTATGTGTTGACTAACATTCACTAAAGTTCCTCCATGTCCAAGTTGATTTTTGCTTAAATATTTTATAGCCAATAATGCGGTACGAATCATTCCTCCCTAAGATATCAAATACAAGAATATTATGATTTCTCATTAAAAAAAAAGACACATACACACACAAATAGACAATAAAACAATCTCTTTATCACTTACAATATTAACTGCTATTTCTTTTTCCCATCTTCGTTCGTCCAAAATACCAGCATTATTTATGACAATGTCAATATCATCCATAAAATTCAAAGCTTCCTCAAAAGCCGCTATAATATGTACAAAAATATTAAATTGAAACTTAGACATCAGAACAAGTTTATGATAAATTAATATTGAATAATAAATTTATTATATTATTATATTATATTATTATTAATTATTATATTATTTCTTTTCTATCAAAAATTTATTTTGTTTTTAGATCAAGCTCCAGTCAACGTCTTCGTCATTATCGATTATTTAATGACGATTTATGAGTCAAAAAATTATCAATGCGTTATCTACACATTGATTTCTACATATAATACTATATTTAACACTCACCAGTCATAAGTTCGTGATTGGAAACATCAACATGAATGAAATGCACTTTTTTTTCTTCGCAGGATTTCTCTACACTCAATTCTATTCGCTTACCGATTTCCTTGTCAATATCTAATATAGTTATTTTCTAAAAATTTATTCAAATTGATAAGTTGAAATTTTAGTATATTTTCGGAATTAATTTAAGAAAACACTTACATTCGCACCGTGTTTCAAAAAATGATTCATAAATGCATTTCCTAAACCCGCAGCTCCACCAGTTATGAGCACGTTCTTACCAGAAACGAGACCGTATATTGCCTCTATTTCTTTCGCTTTCTCGAATGCGGAAGATTGTCTTCTTTTATTATTCTCGTTCTCTGAAAAATTTACATGGCATTCATTTATATCATCTTACGTGATAAACTTGCAAAAATTCTTATATAAATTCTAATATAAATTAGAAAATATCTAAATCAATTACATCACTTCAATATTATAATATTTTACATGTATTTATAATTAATATTATTTTCTAATTAACAATATTTGTTTTTATTACAGATATATTCTATATTTATGAAAATAACAACAAGTTATTTGAATAAGTTGAAAAATTCTACGTAAAACGGCAGGTTATTTTTATTGAAATAAACTGAAATCATTCGATTGAACTGTTTTCTGAAAATATTGTTTATTTCATTGTTTCTAGGAGTACGCAGAGAAACGTACCCATTTTTATTCGAAGGAAATCGCAACTGAATCGAATATACGAGATAGTGTTCACCAGAATTGGAGAGCACAAGACAGGGTCAACATGTGTCGTTTTACTGAAGTTTGATCGGTTCTCGTCGATCGTATTTATACACACAACGAGCTGTCATGATGATTTCTACGTCACAATATGTATGTATAAATGAGACATGAATTTTTATCGTTAAGAATGT